TAAGGGAACACAATAATAAACCATATTTGATGTCCAAAACAGGTTTCACTTAGGTACAAGAGTATTAGGCACAATTCATTATTCAAAAACACTAACAGTAGGGATTCGGGGATCGAACCGCGAAAATCGTGAATGCCTTTCTTTATTTTTTAAGGGGTGAAAATCATCGAATGACTGCTCCCGCCCGGGTGAGGCGGGAGGGAGTGTCAGACTCTTACTGACTAAAAACCACCCCGTTCCTTCTCCTGCACGTCGAGCCGGAGCCCTGGTAACCCGTTAGGTTCTCCGCGACAAATCGTGAATGCCTAGAATTTACGTTCATTAGGTATTACAATACAATGCAATGCACCCAAAAAATAAAATAATAATAATAATATTATAAGTTTCGATAGACATAATAAATTATTACGTTCATTATTATCTTTTTCGACTTACTCACGTAACTGACGAGAACTCGACTAGTTTCAAGTCTAGATGCTCATGTTCATGAGCAGCATTTCGCGACGCACGACGCGGCGACCGTCGCGCTGCTACTCTTACATGAATATGGGCCTCTAGCATGACTTGAAACTAGTCGAGTTTCTCGTCAAACAGTTACGCGAGAAAGTCGAAAAACAACAAAAAATACATACATAGCATCACGCCTTTTATCCCAGGGGTAAGGCAGAGGTGCACATTATGCCACTGTAGGTATAATGTAACACCCACTTTTTCACTATTTATGTTATGAGTCCCATGTAATAGGGGGTGAGACTATTGCCATAGGCACAATTCCAGACTCCGTGCTACTACTGAGAATTTATAATTACATAGTAGTACTTTGCCCGACCCGGGAATCAAACCCGAGACCCCTTGTCCGGCAGTCGCACTTGCGACCACTCGGCCAACGAGGCAGTCAACAAAAAAATTAAATCATTATTTACTTTAGAACCTTCTACAAAGGATTTTCCACCTACAGTTTAACACAATAATAACATATTTACCTTGATAAAGCAGAATCTGACGAAGTCCTCTCCCAAATGCTTGTGTGGCTCCGAGTAGAATGCTGTAGGTGGAATGGCAAGTACGCCGGTCTCTTTGGCGAACTTCTTCGTAAACTTGTAGTCCTTGTACTTGTCCGGCTCTTGTGAAAGATCTATTTTGTTTGCTGTGAAAAAAATGATCATAAGCGACGAAGAACATCAAAAATTTAATTTATGCGCAATAGGCTTTTTCTAGCGACTCTTGGACAGCTTAGTAGTTAGTGGTAAACTACTAAAAATAGGTCACTTTCTATGGGTCCTGATCGTGGTGAACACAACTGGTAGGGATGATGACAGAGTAGGACAATAGGGTAGTTTCCTGGGTCAAAATAAATTATTTTGTGTTTTCAATCCAATTAAATATTAAAAATAATTACACTCCCATTTATTGATTTGCCGATATACTTAGGGGAGATGTAGGCAATGGGAGTCAGTAGGCAATGGTGATCACCTCAAAATAACAAAAACCGAACGCGACCGACCGATCCAAACATAAGTACACGCTAGCATGACGTCACACCCGTGCGCGAGCGGCGACTGGCTCAGTTCGGCCGACGCGTTAGCGAGTAATGGGTGTGTGAAGATTTCGCGCCATTTACATCTAATTTTTCGAGTTAAGAAATACGAAGGTAAGTTACAAAATAACAAATATTTATTTCTGTACTTGTAATGTCTAATAGTCCTAGCATTTTAGCATGGAATTCAACAGCCATATTGTTATTATTACCAATAATTTCTCGCCAATTTCTTTTTTTTCGTTTTATTGTCTATGTAGGTAATCGGAGTCGGGTGATCCCAATTACCTACATACTGATCCCCATTGCCTACACTACCTAATGTCGGTAAAACAGTATATTTTTTGTTTGTAGATGCCGAAAGTTCGAGCTAGAAAGACTAATAAAGCTAACTGGACTATGGAACACCTTGAAAAAGCTATAAAGCTCATCGATGAACAAAATTTTTCTATAAGAAAAGCCGCGAAGACAATGAATATTCCATTTGCCAGTCTTCACAAGAGATACAAAAAAAATATAGTTAAGGCACCTCGTCTTGGCCGTAATACTGTCTTCAGTGCTGAGATGGAAAAGGAATTAGCTGACATAATAAAAAAAATGGCCAACATATTCTACGGTTGCACGCCAAACCAAATAAAAAGAGCAGCATTTGCATACGCTGAAGCCCTAAATCTCAAACACAATTTTAATACGAGTTCAAGATTAGCTGGTCGAGTCTGGTTCGAGGGATTTGTTGCCAGGAATAATATTTCTGTGCGGAAACCCGAAGCTACTAGTATCAATAGGGTTACAGCCTTCAACAAAACTGAAGTTCAACGATTCTACAAGCTACTAGAAGAGCTAATGGGAAAATACAAATTTACACCGAAAAATATTTATAATTGTGACGAAACCGGAATCTCCACCGTCCAAGAACCCGAAAAAATATTAGCTGCTACGGGACAAAAGAGAGTAGGGTCCATAACAAGTTGGGAACGGGGTAAGAATATCACTTTGCTCTGCGCTATGAGCGCTGCAGGTGGATATGTCCCGCCAATGTTTATTTTTCCCCGAAAGAGGATGACCCCGACTCTTGAAAAAGATGGGCCAACAGGAGCAATATATAAATGTTCGGACAATGGATGGATAAATGAAGAACTTTTCCTCCAATGGCTTAAGCACTTTATCCAGTATGCCAAACCTTCTGCAGAAGAACCAATTCTATTAATTTTGGATAATCATGCGAGCCACATTTCTCTAGCCATCTTTGAGTATTGTAAGGAGAATTATGTCCATATGCTATCTCTACCACCACATACATCTCATCGCATGCAGCCATTAGATGTGTCCTTTTTTGGTCCATTTAAAGCTGCATATAGAAGAGAATGCGATTTATACATGAAAAGTCAACTGTCCCAAAGAATAACACCCTATGATATAGCTTCGTTGGTTAAAAAAGCATTTTCTAATGTTGCCTCCTTGAGTAAGGCCGAAGCAGGATTCAAATCAACGGGCATATTTCCTATAAACCCAAATGTTTTTTCGGATGAAGACTTTATAGCAGCTGAAGTCCTTCAATCAGACCCAATTGTTGTTCAAGATATTGCTGACTCTATTTTTGAATCGACTTCTGCTGGTGCTGTTGTCCCTGCATCATCCGAAACAATGAAACATGGTACCGGTGCACTTCTTGTGGGCTCTGGGCTCATGCCGACTGTACTGGGTGGGATACTGCGCATAATTATGTTTGCGATATGTGTTGATCACCATTGCCCACATACTGATCACCATTGCCAACCCAAGTTGACAATCGGGATCAAAGTTATTATTATTTTTTAATTCTATTGTACCAAAACTAATAAACCAAAGTAATTAAAGTTGATCTCAATCGATAGTTAGTAGAGTAAAGTTTATAATAAAAACAGAGTAATAAATAGTTGATTCATAGATTAGCTTTTTTTTTCATTTTCGCTTAAGTGATCCCCATTACCTACATTTACCCTAATTTTCGATTTATTCTAGCATTTTCTTTAGATATAAGTGTGCTATTTGATGCGAAAATATGATGACGTCATATGATGGTATTTCGTACAAAATACATAGAACGTTTTTGACGTTTCTATAAAAGTATTGAATTTGACTAGTTGTCAACTACCGGATTTAGTCCGCCAGGAAAAAATATTACACAACAATATTTTTTTTGTCGTATAATAAAACAATAGGTACCTACTTGATAATACGAATAAAAGTATAGGAGTGGGAGCTAAACGTCATTTCTGCGTATAAAACATACCTAGTAGCGACTTCACGTATTTCAAATGAATATATTGTAGAAAGTGTTTAGAAAATAATCTAGTATACGGATATTAAAATAAAAATTAGTCATCTCTCAAGCTTTTAAGTGAATGCAGAGACAATCGTATGGTGGCTAGTCATAGACTTACCCAATTTAGTCCAATCAGCGACAATGAAGTATCCAGACTCTGGTACGGTGGGCTTGAAGCCGTTCTCCCTGAGAGTTTCTATCAGCAGGTCCCGCTTGGGCATCAGCTCCCGAGCCAACGCCCTGAAGTAGCAGTCGGGGGAATCGAAGCGGGCCAGCTCGAACTCCATGGAGCGGGCTATCGCTTCCTATAATAATTATATAGATAATAGATTAATAGATCTTTCCGATTTCCATTTTGGTAACGTTGTGGGTAGAGATAGAGATAGAAAGAGCAAGACAGAGCAAGATATAAAGAGTAGACATTTATTGTCAGCTCTATTTTTCCCGTGGTAAGTAAGAACCGACTGAGGAATTTTATAATAGGGGTAGGGCCGGCAAATGAGGCGACCTATCACTGATAGTAAGCAATCGGCATTACTCATAGACATTAGATCACC